TGATGTGACCTCATGCGGTAACATCATAAAAAAATTACAATCTAGCTTTAATGCTAATAAGTAATTCTATTTTGTCTTAATTTGCTAGGAAAGTATAACTAAGAATGTGTCCATTAACACTTTTCTTATTGTCTCTATTAAGGGGAAGACACTTTGTTATTGTGTTCTTTGCCGGTAGCACTCACTACTTTACACTAACACTTCACTATGTTAACTCAAAAGGTTTTGTCCTTTTTAGCCTTCTCACTATGTCCGTGTTGTCGAGGAGCTGGATAGCCTCGATGTTCACATGGTGGTGAAGCCTTCGCTCATGGGCTTCTGCACACTTTTTAATTATATCTATGACGAGGTCTACTTTGAGGTCCCGATGAAGGTCGTCATTTCGAATGTACCAGGGCGCATTGACGATTCCTCTGAGTACTTTGTTTTGAAAACGCTGTATAATTTTGATATTGCTTTGTTTGGTACAGCCCCAAAGCTGAATACCATAAGTCCATACAGGCATGAGGACTTGTTTATATAAAAGAACTTTGTTGTGCACTGACAGCGAAGAATTTTTTCCTATCAGCCAGTACATCGACTTGTAGCGTAGATCTAGCTCGTCGCGTTTCTTTTTGACATGAACTTTCCAGCGAAGCTTTACGTCTAATGTCATGCCTAGGTATTTGGCTGTATTTTCGTATGGTATTACATGGCCATTTATGTTTACCGGGTGGTAATTTGTCCTTTTGTTTGTGAAGTCTATGTGAACAGATTTTGATTCATTTAGTTTCACACGCCATTTTTTTGTCCAGTCAAAAATGATATTGACGGCTGTTTGAACTTTTTCCACTGCTTCTTCTTGAGTGGCACCTATGGCCATAATAGCTGTGTCGTCTGCAAATGTGGCAATGGTATTGTTTTCTAATTCAGGAATATCGCAAGTGTACAATAAGTACAAGACGGGACCTAGGACGCTTCCTTGCGGTACTCCAGCTTTTATTGGTTTGAGTCCTGAATATGCATCACCATGTCTTACTCTAAACATACGCTGTGATAGATAAGACTCTAAGATGTCAGCAAATTGCTTAGGGAGCATGTTTTTTAATTTGTAAATAAGGCCTTTGTGCCATACCTTATCGAATGCTTGCGCTACATCCAGGAAGATCGTGGAGCAAACTTTTTTTTCTTCTAGAGCCTTTTCAATAATGTTGGTAATCCTGTGTACTTGATCTATAGTCGAATGTTTTTCCCTAAAACCAAATTGGTAGTCAGGGATCAAATTTCTTTCTTCTATGATGGGTTTTAGTCTTTTTAAAAGAAGCTTTTCAAATAATTTTGACATTGTCGGTAGCAGCGAGATCGGCCTATACGATGTTGTTTCGTGAGGTGGTTTACCAGGTTTTGGTATCATTATAACTTCGGCAACTTTCCACTGATCAGGTACATACTGAAGTCTTAACGTTGCATTGATATGAGTCGTAACTTTTACGATGGCTTTACGTGGGAGGTTTTTAAGAACTTCTGCAGTAATAAGATCGTAACCAGGTGATTTCTTTAATCTAAGGCGGTTGATTTCGTTGTACACTTCTCTAGGTGTTACGAATTTTATTTCTTGCTCATCATTATTTGATGTTTCATTTAATAAGTCGCTATCTTCATGCTCTTCATTTGGCTCAAAAATGAGTTCTAGATGTTTTGCAAACCTTATAGCTTTTTGCTCGTTGCTTATTGCCCACCGCTCGTTAATATCTTTGATAGGGGGAATGTGCAGAATTGGCTTTTTTAAGCTTTTCATAGATTTCCACAGAGAGTAATCTGTCGTGCGATGGCTGGTTAGTTGTTGTAGATAACTATTCATTGATTCGTCTTTGTAATTCTGAATTGCTTCACTTAGTTGTTTTGTAAGGTTGTTCAGAATTCTTTTATCTTGTGGATATCTTGTCTGATGCCATATTCGTCTCTGTCGCCTCTTTTCAGCAATAAGTTTTGTGATTTCTGCTGGATAGTAGGTAATTCTATTTTTTATTTTAAAGGTGGGCGTGTTTTTCCAGGCGCATTGTTGTATTTGTGTTATAAACTCACTGATATCCCAGTCCAGATCTTCTGGTTTCTTGAGTGGGACTCTTAAATCTATCATAGACTCCAAATCTATTTTAAAGCTTTCCCAATCAGTGTTCTTGTTTACCAATGTGGGGTTGTATTCTTTCAGCAAGATAGTCTCACTTAGAGTAAGTAATATAGGTGAGTGGTCTGAACTCATATCATAACCTTCTTCAATGCGAAGAAGACTAGGTGATATATTTTTGTAAATAAAAAAGTCTATAAGATCAGGAATCTTTTTTGTATCAGTAGGCCAATAAGTGGGCTTGCCTGTTGATAAAGTTTTACCTTGTGTTTCTTCAATGGCGCACAGTAGCTCTCTGCCTTTGGTCGTTGTCAGTCGAGATCCCCAAAATGTATTTTTAGCATTAAAGTCACCTCCCAATATGTATCTGTTTCCAAGACAGTTAAGAAAAGACATGTACTGATCTGTTTTTAGTGAATACCTAGGTGGACAGTATATGGCTGAGATGGTGATAAGACAGAATTTTGTTTTGACACAGACAGCCACTGCTTGTATTTCTTCTTTTTCATGTTTCAGTTTTTCGTAGTGAAAAATATTCTCTTTTATGATGACAGCACTACCACCTCTTGGTGTGTTATGAGGATGCAGTGCATGATATACTTTATACCCTTTAATTTGGATATGAGATTCTTTAGTGAAATGTGACTCTGATATAAGGCACACATCAATTCTTTCCATATTTAGGACTGCCGTAAGTTCATTCTGATGTTTCAGCAGTCCATTTGCGTTCCATGCCATAATTCTAAGTAAACTAGCCATTTATACTGCTTTTTCGTTGTTTGGCAGCTGTTTTAGTGCTGCTTTCAAGTTTTTTCAGCCTTTCGTCGAATGTAGTTAAAAGATTTATAATAGTATTAATCTTTTCATCCATGTTAGGGTTTATAGGTTTCATATGAGATTGTGGCAAAGATTGGACTCCTTTTGCCATTTGTGCATACGAAACACTTTTGGTGACAAGGTTGGTGACACTAGGTATTTTGTGTTTGATTATACTTGGACCCTGAGAGTTTGGTATCGGCTCATGCTTTTTGGTATTTTTATTTTTAATATTTTGTAGCTCTTTAGCTACTATGCATCCTCTATAGTTAGCCGGGTGGGGCTCACCACAGTGAATACATTTCGGTTTTGCTTCTGCAGGTTTATTGCAGTCTCTGGTTAGGTGCTTGCCTGTACACTTCACACATCGGGGTTCTTTGGAACAGTATTTCTGTGTGTGGCCATATGCTTGACACCTTTTGCATTGTGGAATTAATTTTGAAGTTTTTAAAGGCTGTATATCTACTTTACAGCCCAGTATGGATTTGATTCCGTAGATTTTCTTTATGTCTTCATCCTTTTGGAATGAGAGCATGAACATACTGAGGGGCTCTTTGCTCTTCCAACTCAGTTTGTTAACAGCATCTTCTATTTTAAATCCTTGAGCTGTCAGATCTTCAATTATTCTATTTGGCAGGCAGGAAGAATGAAGGTTTTTTGCCATCACCCTGATCGGCCTATCTTGTTTATTCTCATACGAGTACCAACAGCAATTATTCTGTAACAATAGCTTGGTGATGGATCTGTATGAGTCATCATTATAGGAGTTAATTTTAACTTTTTCTCCATTCATCATTTTCGTAACGAAAGAGTCTTTCGTTACATTAGTTGAAAGAAGGTCGTAGAACTCTTGGTAGTTCTTGACATTTTCCACAACTATAGGTGGTGGTGTGGGCTGTTTCTTTATTTTAGCTTCTTTAGTTTTCTGGCTAGGATCGTCTCCTTGTTGAGTTGGTGAGGACAGTGATGACGAGTTCAATTTCCTTTTTTTTCTGCTCTTCTGTCGTACCCACTCTGTTTCCTTTGCTAGTTCTTCTTCGTCTGTCTCATACTCGATTGGCATTGGCTTCTCGGTAGTGACATTTTTCTTGTCTGAAGTTTTTTGCTCCTGGATGGTTTTAAGCTGATGCTGTAGTTGTTCTAATTGGCTTTTGAGGTCATTTACTAAACTTTGCAACTTTTCGCGTTCTAACTTTTCTTCGGTATAATATTTATACAACAGATGTTCCGTTTCAGTTTTGATTTTAATTGAGGATGACGAAGCCATGATTATTAGAATAACTTCGCCTTAACACTTTGTTTATACAAATAATTGTGCAACACTTTCGGTAACTGGGTCATCGCGGCGACCGCGCACGGCTAGAGGTAATGAACGGTAGGCTGCTGCGTCAGCGCTACACTTGAACATAATCTAGCACGAGAATGTGTGCGACGCGACTGTTCTTAGCGGAAGTCGATCGATCACTCGATCGCATTGTTGGGATAAAAACACATTATTTTTATTTGTTTCTACCTTTAAGTCATGTCTATTGAAATAATGTGAGTTTATTATATAATTCATCTGACTAGTCGGCTTCCGAAGGGTTCGCGGTCAGATTCGACTTTGCCATTGACCTTCATAGTATATCTACTGAGTGAAGATAAGCGCAGAGTTCAATTCAGTTCAAATGCAGATTTTATCTAAATGTAACTATTATTTTAATGAATAGTCAAACGCTTCTCAATTTTCAACTGCATGGTTGGTGCGGTGGCTGGGCAACTGGCTGCCGCGCAACGTGTCGCGGGTTCGATTCCCCGCACGGAACAACTCTGTGTGATCCACAGATTGTTGTTCCGGGTCTGGGTGTCATGTGTATGTAAACTTGTATGTTTGTAAACGCACCCACGATGCAGGAGAAAATCCTAGTGTGAGGCAACGTTTATTTTAAAATGAAAAAATAAAATGAAAATGAAATTCTTTGTAAAATGACAGAAATGGCTTAATAAATTGAGTAGTTTCAGTATTCAGGTGAAAGTAAAAAAAAAAAAACAATAACGATGATCGAGTTGTTACTAACACGATTGACCGTGGAGTATTGGAGTCCGGAGCTTGATTTTCGGTTCTTAGTAACAAGTTAACACCAATCATATTGGCATTTCTACAGCTTTTTATGAGCAAAAATGTTTTTTTGTTATTATATTTTTATAAACACCGAGGCGTTACAAGTGCGTTACCGGCCTTTTGGGAATTGGGAATTTGAGGATTGTGGAGGTTTCGTGGATTGGGGAGACTGAGGAGGGCGGGTAATTGGGCCTCCGGTAACCTCACTCACATGACGTCAAGTGCGACCGACGTGAAACAACGCAAGCGTTGACGACGTGAACCAATGCAAGCGTTGTTTCACGTCGGTTTTCTGTGAGGCCGTGGTATCCGGCCGGCCGGCCGGCCCATTAGTGCCGAAGCATGGCTCTCCCACACTTTAATCTTATCTCTTTTTATCTCTTCTTAGATTTACTGATCTGGAGCCTTACACAAACTACAATGTGACTTTCTACATCAGAGACAGCAAGTCTAACAGAACTTATGCATCCATGAAGTATGTAAACACCACCACTGGAGAAGGAGGTAAGTTATACTTACTTTTTAAATACAATGTACCTAATTATTTAGTGCCCTTTTCAGTTTTCTTAGGAATTATTGTAAAGAGATATGAGGTCTTAATGATTGATATTACTAAGATTCCATTATGCTTTTTAATCACTTCAGTGACAGTAGTAATTATTATTCAGAAAAAGGGTCCATCATTTTTCAGATGAAGAATGTACAAAATTTTGTTCGTAATTTCAACAATTCCTTCTTATAAAAAAGAAGTTTAAATTGATCATAAAGGTTTCTAATAACTTTATTTTCCAGTACCATCGCCACCAATTCGTCTAAGCGTCCGTCAGTTGATCGGTCACCGTATCAACGTAGTATGGGACCGTCCAGTGTCCCCGCGCGGCGCCATCCAGTCCTACACCCTGTACTACGCGCCTCCACTGCCGCCCGTCGCCAAGCTCATCCCAGCCACTGATCAGAAGACCATGTCCGTAGATGTCACCGGATTCTTCAAACCGTTCAATAACTATTCCTTCTGGGTAAGTCTTGTACTGTTCAGTATTATCTTGTTAATTGAATAAATAAATAAAATCTGGTGTTACTGATAGCTGGTATTAGGCTGTCCATCTAATGAACCTTTTGTGCGCCACGGCGGGTGACAATGAAACGTACATAAAAATTGCGATTATGCTATATTGGCTGTTTTCGTCTGTGATGGATTGACCCAGTTTTTATTTGTCGTCTATAGCCGACTATAGCACCCAAAAGTTAAAATAAAAAACCAAAGTACGTACATATGATTGTACTTAGAATTTTAATAAATCTTAAATAGGTACTGTTTTCTCTCAATGCCTATGTTGACTTGAGTAATAATATAATATAATGAGTAGTAATGATTAAAGTTTCATTATAATACATGATTTTTATGCTTGTTTAGTTTTCACTTTGATATTTACTGATGCACTTATTTTGATTACAGTTACAAATATTACAGCCATATTTTACAACTCACAATTTTACTGAAAAATGACCTTTATTTCTCCCTAACTTAGGTGACAGCAACAAACAACGCATTCACGTCTACATCGTCCCAAGTGATGAACATAACGTTTGACCCGGTCAACGATGTAGATGACCTCGTCAACGCCAGTTTGACGCGACTCAACGCGAGCTCCGTGAGACTCGACTGGCATCAAATAAGGAACGTCGACGGATACGTTGTTAGAGTACGACTACCGCCAGAGTACGCGATGCTAGACCCCATCGTTACTGAGGCTACTAATGTTACATGTAAGTTGGATCTTTTTTATTTATTTCATTAACATTCAATGCTAGAGTATAGACCTTTGTTAAATAAGTGTTTGTCATGACCTCCACTCTTTGTAAACGGGTTGGAGACAGCAGTTTGAAAGTATAAAGTTTACCAAAAATCTCTGCTGTCCATTAGTTGGCTCCTACGACATCTGCGGTCAGGGTAGGAGTGGGGACAAATATATTCTACTCTGCTGTCACCACATATTTTCATTTGTTTATTTGTATGTAACAAAGGATACGATATCAACCTATCTATATCTGTGGTTCCCAAAGTTGTCTCGACTACAACGTATCTAAATCAAGTTCCAAAACTCCAGATCCACCTTACCAGAATGCATATCTACGCGAGACACAATGTGTTTTCTATTGTGTCTTAAATCAACAGACAAGAGGTGAAACCGTTAACAATATGAAAACCAAAATACAGAACGGTTGGTTATTGCGCCTTTCTACAGACAAGGCCCACTAAAAATTCGCTTGCGACCCACCAATAGGTCGCGACCATAGTTTAGGAAACCCTCATCTGTACATTAGTTGCTTCTATAATAACTGAAGTATTAATACTAACTTATATTACTTCCAGTGACGAACCTGCCACCCGGAGTCCTAACATACATTGACATAAAGGCCTACAAGAACAAAGTGTACGGCGATCCATTCACCATTCCATTCCGTACTGAAGGCACCCCAGATGAGGTATTGAACTTCACAGCTATACTGTCCAAGGAACGGAAAACTTCTGTCTATGTATCTTGGAGTCCACCCACTGGAGACAGGTATAAAGATAAAGAACTGGAGTATGAAGTCCATTATACCAATATGATTCATAGGACTACCACCCCTGGAGAAATGTCTAATGGTAAGTGTGTAATAAATCTCTAATGTTCTAAGACATTTCTTTATAACTACCAACTATTTATTTTTTCTAAATTTAAGACTTTTGTATTTAATACAAAAAATATTTTTTGATCATGTATATCCTCTCGTGCGTCTCGTACACGGGTTTAATAGAAAGCGAATGAACTATACTGTTCAAACAAATAAAGAACGGGTTGCAACTAGAAAATATACATCACAGAAAAAGTTTCCAATCGGTGCAAGTCACTCTCGTACACAAATGTGTACAATTGCGGCGATGGGCACTCAACTCTCTAGTACACCCGTGTTTACAAGAAACGCGCGAGAGGTTAAATGATCAAAAAATATGCCTTTCATCAATATGTTAAAACTTTCATTGGTTATGATTTCACTCCGTGCTTATTGAGAATCTTTGAAAACCGAAAAAACACTTTACTGCGATATATATATTGTTATGATACATTATACCACTGGAATATTCGCTAGAAGTTTCTTGTTCAGAGGCCTTAGTACGAGTTAGATTAACGTTTAAAGTATTTGAAACGAGTACGCGTTCGGCACTCTGATTAGCCGGCGCCAATGAAGCAACCAATCAGAGCGCCGAACGCGTACTCGTTACGATTACTTTAAACGTAAAACAAATTCGTACTAAGGTATCAGAAATCACAACCATGTTACTGTGTGACTGCCAATATAATCAGTTATTTTTCCTAAGAATGTTAGGTAATCAAATGTTCTTAAGACCAAGACGATGTTTTGTTCCACAGATACTCGCATTATAACAAAGAACACGAGCGTGCTTATAGAAGGTTTGCACGCGTGCGAGACGTACATATTCACCGTCGGAATACGAGGGGGACCACTCAGCATGTTCAAGGGAATCATCACACGCGAGAACGACATGTAAGTTTCAGTCTTACTACTATACAATTAGAGCTGGATTTTTGTTTGTTATTTAAGCCTATATTTGAGTACATCTGTTTAGGGGTTCTTTTAAATTTGTACACAATTATGGTTACACTGGTTATTGCTACAGACTACAAAATGTAATAATTTACGACTAACTGTTTGTTATAAGGGCTCCTGTGAAGAACTTGCACGTTGAATACGATGAGGATAAGCAGCAGATGAAGATCTTATGGGACGCTCACTGTAACGCTTTTAGAACACCTACCACTTACACGGTGAGTCTAGTATTATTTAGTTTAAATTAATATTACGTGTACTTGCTGAATTTGTTTGAACTTCGCGTAAATTATGTAAGTACTAGCTTCTGCCGGCGACTTCATACGCGCAATCCCGATTTCTCTAGTTCCCGTAGGATTTTTTTAAGTACGAGAAGAAGGGGTAGGCAGAGGTGCACATTACAGCAATTAATGCCTCTGTACAACGTAACACCCATTTTTCACTATTTAAGTTATGAGTCCCATGTAATAGGGGGTGAGCCTATTGCCATATACCGGGCACAATTCCAGACTTCGTGCTACTAGTTTAGAGTTTTCTTAAATAACCCAGTAATACTTTGCCCGACCCGGGAATCGAACCCAAGATCTCTTGGTCGGTAGTCGGACTTGCGATCACTCTGCCAACGAAGCAGTATAATATACAAAAAGGAATCAGTCTAGCCGTTCTCAAGTAATGGCCTGACAACGGAAAACGGGTTTCATTTTTAGATGTACCAGCATGTTATGGTATGTTGTTATACAGGTTCACTCATTTCCAAACACTCAATTGCTACTCAATTCTAAGTCGCGTTTAAGTATAGTTCTGTCACTACCAATTCTTTGTAAAAAGACAGAGATGGCACGCTGTTTAAGTACAACTTACAATTGAAGTATTCGAATACCTAATTATGCCAAGTACTAACATTGTAAACTTGTAAAACGATTACTATGTATGCTTGTGGTTTAATAATAATAAGTCCACTGAAATTTTAACCTTATAACATTAGAATTAAGCTTTATTATTGAGTATCGTATATTTATATCGAGTAATCTTGTGACAGCTGGACGTGACAGAACTGACACATGACCGCAAGAGTCACTACGAGCTCGCTCTGTCGCGACAGTCGAGTTACTCGCATACTATCGTCGATGTACCCATCGGTGGGAGATATAACATCTGCATACATGTAAGTGGAACTTTAATATTTTTATTATAATTCCTTCAAATAAAATAATACGCCATTTATTTATAAATATTATTAGAGTTGATTGATCATCTGAAATTCTGAATATGTCATGCTATGTTGATTCTTTTAGTAAAAAATACAAACAAGTTTTTTAATATACTAAATTTTTGTTTTATGTATTTTCTTAATATCTTAAAGTTATCACCATCATTTAGTTTTAATCGTGTTTATTTGGAAGAGAGTTGTGGTAAAAAATGTAATAAACAAATAGTAAGAATAAGAATAGAAACATATTATCTATATTAGAAGTAAAATTGAAAATGATAAGTAATGAGAAAATATACAATAAATAACGACGTTTGCCACGTCGTGTGTTGGCTCGTATATTCGTGCCCTTATGCCCCCGTTCGCAATTACGCTAGTATAGTATATTCGAGAAGCGAGTATTTTGGGGTTGTCTCGCTTCTGTCCCATAATTGAAGCGAGATAGAGCTACAAAATACGCGTTACTCAACTAAAATACTTCAAGTTATCTCGTCGAAATGAGTGAAATTATTTCGTTACGTGGGCAAGCCATGAACCATAATGAATTGCGTCCGTTATCCGCAGGTGACGGTCCCGGGCGCGGCGGCGACGTGTCGCGCGGCGCGCGGCCAGCGCCTGCAGCCGCCCAGCGAGGTGCTCGCCTGGCTGGCGCCCAACGGACACGTCATGGTCAGCTGGGACGACCGCCCGCTGCACCAGTACGGAGACTACTCATATCGTTTCTTTACTCATACTTCATCATCGTCATCATATTCAGCCATTACTGAACATAGGCCTCCCCCAATGACTTACTACTTTATGATGCATATTGACCTACATTCTATTCTTAATGTAGTTTCTTTATGGATTGTGCATTTATTGTAGCTTCATTATTGATTTATGCCATTCTTAGTAATAGAATAGGCACTGGAATCATAATCACCAATAACCCTTTGGGAGCTCCTAAGCATAACGAGAGAATTATGGGTATTGTTATTCTTCTTCAGTTGCTTACTTACGATTTTGATTAATAACTAGCGAAAAGTACTCGTTTAACTAATAGAAGAAGAAGAACAAAAGTAAGCCCAATCTTGACTTGTCCACAGACACGAGTACGAAGTGATAATATCTAAGAAGGAGATACCGGAGGACTTGCTGCAGCCGACGGAAGACATGAAGACGATGAAGGCGGAGATGTCGCCGTGCTTGCTGACGGCGCCTGACGACGTGTCGGGCCCGCTGTACGTGGGAGTGCGCGCCGTCACCGCGGACGGGTACTACAGCGACCTCAGCGAGGTGCACACGCTCACTATGGAGGGTGAGTCCACCGAACTCTATTAAACGACAAGCACCAAGAGGACACCGGTGACCGCAACCTATTGTTCTTTACTTGTGTCTAAAATGACGGTACTCAACGAGTTAATATTTCGTGAACTATGGTGTACCATAGATCACAGTTGGTACTCTTTCAAGTATAAGCTGTATATTTTAAAGACTAGGAGTGGGGCTAGACGTGAGTCTAAGGACTAGATTGCGACTAGGAGTGATGTGAATAGAGATTAAGAGTGGGACTAAGAATGGGAATGGTATTAGGAGTTGGACTAGGGATTGGGACTGGGGGTGGGATTAGGAGTGGAACTGGGAACGGGACTGCGAATGGGACTAGGAGCGAGAGTGGGACTAGGACTGGGACGGACACTGGTATTGGGACCGGATCGGTATGACGTAAAATCGGATTGGATTGGGAGTGGATGGAATTGATTTCGTTTGTTGGGATCGGGATGGAAAGACATTAATGTTATTATTTTCTTCCTGTGATAAGGTTGAATAGTATGAAGATTAATAATAATAGAATGGACAGAGAAAGGGTGAAATCAAGTACCCTACATTTCATACCAGTTTACACCGTATCTCGTGTTAATTTTTGATATAGAGGTAGAATGCCTAATGATTGCGTAATATTTTTACGCAGGATCAGAAATAGATGAACCATCAGCCCTTCGCGCCATGTGGTGGGGCTGGGGCGGAGCCCTGCTGGTGTGCATCGTGCTGGGCGGAGCCCTACTCCACGTGGCGCTCAGGCACCGCCGCCTCGCGCGGTCCTTCCTCAGGTTCACTGCGCACACTCCGCGCTATGATAGCAGGCGAGGACAGGCCATCATTGGCGAAAATGGTACGTACATTAAATCACACAAATGTTTGGGTGAAGTGAAAAGTTTAATTAAAAAAATACTCGTGTTTTGCTTACAAATACAATGTTGTTCTAGACGACGACGACGTGCCTCCCATCCACGGGTTCTCGGACGACGAGCCGCTCGTGATCGCGTGAGCTCCGCGCCCGCGCCGACTAATGTGATGTAACCGTGATCTTGTCAAAAAAAATAGTATTTATTTTTTCATAAAAAAAACTTGCACGTTTTAAAGCAAATTTTTAATCTGCTTGTGGTTGTAAAATTATGTTAGTTACAGTAGTCGAATTGAATTGCTTCACCGCGATTGAGACATCGATAGAGCGCATCGACAGATTTATGATTATTATTATTATTTTCTATTTGAAATGCCCCGAGTATTATTATGTTATTCAGAATCAAATTATATTATTTTAGTTTAATGATCGCTGCGTGCGTTTCCCTGGTAGTGGGTAAAGTTTAGCCGAATTAGTGACAATGATAGAGTGCCAGGGGAACCTGCACAGCGCGACCGACGGGCTGTAAATGGTAAGACTTGTTAAATTATGTTTATGATACGTAAAGACATAAGTTCTAAGTTTCCGGGCATATCGGAATCGTTGTAGGTAACATGAACAATTCTCATTTCATTATAATAATTCGGCACCAAAGAATAGAAGTACAACGTAAAGAGATATTAACATCTACGCTGTTGTTACATTATAATGGATCTCGACATTCCCAATGTGTGTAGTGTTTTTACTTTAGTTCCTATAGAACGTTTAGTGCCGCGTCATCGTATTTGACCAGTCTCATGAAATTGTTAAGTTATCGTTATATGGCTGGGCTCATATATTATGTAAACTAAGAACATGAAATAAATAAATGTTTAAAATGCCAATATTGTTGTTTTCTTAAACCTTTCATGAGTACTAAGCAAGAGTTTATTTTACTTTTAGTAGGAGTCTGTAGATGCGGGAACTTTTTTGAATGGTAAATGTTTATAATATAACACGTAAATACATATGTCATTATAAAACGATGCAATTATTATTATTGTAAATTGAAAAGCGAGCATGATATAACCAAGAATGTCAATCAACATCTTTTTATTTTTATACTTAATAACTGTGAAAGTAAGCTGCGCGACATAGCCGCGACCGAGCTCGCTGCTCATGACGAAGAGTCCTTTAGACTCGAAACTAGTAGTTTTTCTCAGTAGGTATATTTACGTAAGTAACTCGTAATGTTTAGTTAATTCCGCAATCAATATCTTCTAGTAGCTACAGTATGTAGTGGCTACAAATAGGCAGTTATAAATATATTTACAGTACTGACCTCTTATATCTAGTCGTCGAGTACAGCGATGGCTCGCTGCACCCAGTCCCGTACAGGTAATAGTACCAGCGTACTGTCGCGGGACACTGCCACCGCTACCGCCGCCTGGCGACCGTGCTTGTTGCATATCAGGGAACCACCCACTCCGGTCTGTGAAAAATGATGATTACTTATCGTACCAGCAATAAAAAATGGGGAGTTTATTTTATAAGGAGGAGGAATCGTCATGTGACTCCTCCCGCCGTGGGTAATGCGAGAGGGAGATTATTTTCTAAAAAATTTGTCCCAAGGATTTTCTCCTGTGTCGAGTGCGTTTACAAACATACATAATAATATCACACCCAGATCCAAAATAACAATCTGTGGATCACACATACAGTTGTTCCGTGCGGGAATCGAACCCGCAAAACGTTGCGTGGCAGCTAGTTGCCCAGCTACCGCGCCAACTAAAACCACCCCGTTCCAACTACAGCTACAGTACTCTAAAAAAATTCATTCGATGTCTGTAAACTGAGCGTTTCATTTGTGTTCAATATTAACCTCCTGACTCACACACCACATAACCACACACCAACACCTGCTTCGAGTCGGGGCCATAGTAACGTATCGCCCTTTATCCGCAACACTGAAGTCTGAAGTAGGTTTTAGTTTGAATAATTTGTTGTCTTGTCTTTAGGTCGGACTAAGTAATATTACAAATTATGTTTCGTATTACAAATTAAGAAAAAGCACAGTAAGAAACTTTTTTGTTATGTATATAAACCTGCGATCAGTCGACTAAAATCAGGTGATTTGGATGATGATAAGGTTAGGTGAGACAGAGCCATTGCTCATTCCCCCCATATTAAGGCCGCACGTTTGCTATCTTGAGACTTTTAATTTAGTTTAGGTGCAAGAGCAAGCTGGATTGCGGGTTAGGGTGGGTTGTTAAACGTTCTTTGTAGTTGTTAGTGTCGCTTTGCTTCGTCGAGCATGGTTGTCATTACTAGGTAGGTACTCATTGATTTCCCAGGTCCGGGCAGTAAGAAACTTGCTTCTCATTCCCAATCATATTAACCTAATTAAATTATTATGTTTTCGGCTTACTCACGTTTAGAGGATTCGAACCCGGGATCCCGAAGCCCGGGATCCCGGGATCCCGATCAAATTTCGGTCCCGTAATTTTCGGGATTATTTTTTAAGTATCCCGGGATTTTCGGGATTGGAATTTATGCTCTTACCAATGCATTTTGAGATTCATTTTTGTGATGTAGAATAAAAATATGCATGAAACGAAGCGAAACGCACGTTAGAAGTTTTAACGGCCATCTTGTTTACACATCTGATTTCATTTGTAATTGCTAACGGATCTTTTTGAGATCATTAAACAAGAAATGAATCCTTATGAAGCTAGTTCCACACAAGGTTATAATTTGGAGAAGACTTATAAAAAATTATTGACGATTCCTCCAACTTCCATTGAGCCTGAGCGCGCTTTTTCTGCCTCTTCATATTTGTGCAACAAATTAAGAAGCAAGCTTTCTGATGAGTCGTTGGATGCTTTACTATTTCTTCGATATTATTTTCGAAGTTGAAAGAAATAATTTATAAATTACCTTGTATTACTGATCTCTTTAGAATTAAGTCATTTTTAATTTTTATCTAAACAAGTGTTTAGAAGTTGATTTTTTAAAGATTTTATGTGAATCAAAATAAACAAACTATTACACTAAGTAAAGATGTTCCTTGTTTGTTTGTTTATTATTTTATTAGAAGAAAATATTATTTTTGTTTCGTTTTTTGTAGATTGAACTGATGATTAATAGTTGATTTTGATATATAAATTACTGTCTTTCTGTTACTTCTTTCTATCCCGGGACTGTCCCGGGATCCCGGGATTAACTTTAGATAATCCCGAAATCCCGGGACTGGAAAAATGGGCCGGGATTGAATCCTCTACTCACGTTGTAATTCGACGAGAAAGTCAACGAGTTTCAAGCCATGCTAGAGGCTCATATTCATGAGCAGCATTTCGCGACCCGCGACGCGGCGACTGTCGCGCTGTTACTGGCTATTCGAGTCCCCTACCCGGCCCTCTGCCGTGATTCTGGGCGCGCTGGGCCCGCAGACTCGAGTAGCCAGTAGCAGTGCTCCTCGTCGAATTACAACGTGAGTAAGCCGAAAACATAATAATTTATTTAGTATGTCTCACGAAAGTTACAATACAAACATATTAACCTATCTTGTCGCGGAGAATCTAACGGGTTACCGGGGTTCTGGCTCGAAGTGCAGGAGAAGGAACGGAGTGGTTTTTAGTCAGTAAGAGTCTGACACTCCCTTACGCCTCACCCAGGCGGGAGAAGCCATTTAAAGATTTTCTCGCATTAAAAAAAAAATGGTGTCTAGATTACTGCGTAGTAATCGTGCTAAGGTAAACAGTTGTCTACTTACCACAGTACCGCGCGCCTGTACGGAAGCACACAAAGCGTTGTTTGGTATGTTGATACCCTTGAGGGACAGCCGTCCGTTGCACGAGTGCAGCGAGGCGCGCTGCCAACGAGACTTCGGACGCATCGCTGTAATATCAAGGACACAAAGCTTTAGATATAGGAGGCTCTTTTATTAATATCGAGTTCATAATGCCTAGGGTTCATAACATATATTAATATTGCACAAAGCATTAAGTAGGTATGTGTGGGTAATCTGTAACCAACACATGCTTTTACAATTAAATTGACAAACAAACTCATACAAAAATTTCGCTTAGAACAACAATTCGTTCCGTGCGGGATTCGTGCTGCACGGAATTCGATCACCCGTGCGGTGTAAACTTCATGCAATTACCAATAATTTTATTAAAAAGGAAACAACATAATATTAGATTTATATCAATACGTACCTTGATCAAATCCGCCCCATCCAACGAAAATGCAATCATCACCCAAGCGTGGAGCATCGAGACACACCGGGTGGATGTTTGGACCAAGTTTGAAGGATCGCTTCCAGTGCTGAAACAAAAACAATTATCTAAAGTGATGACTCTATAATAAAACAAATTAACACATAGGTCATAGGCGACACTTCGATAGCGATGGATTTGCTTTCTACAATTTTTTATCGATAGTCAAAGTTCTAAGCTCCCCAATAATGTTAATCCGTTTAAAATATGTAAGTCGTCATTACCTAATTCATAGATTTATTGTGAATGACTATGACTTACCAATATAGCCAAGTTATTTTTGATTTCATCATGTTTGTACTGGGGATGTATGTGGTAGGAAATGACTCGGCTTCTTGACGCCACCCTCGCATTGAGATTCCATAGTCCAGCGATTAGTATGAAGTCCCCGGGGGCACTCCTGGAGAGAAAGCAAGAGTTAGTTTTGTGGCCCCGGTTTTATGTGATTATACCTGCATTAGGATACGGTGAGTTATCAAAGGTATCTCTTGTGTATGTGTGTTAATAACTATTCAAAACACTTATTACAATCTTATAACTTTTTAATTTCTAACTTGCATACAACACAACATTGAAACATTGTGTTCTCTTTATTGTACACACATTTATTTTATGATTTATAAGTTTTGAAAGTTCAATTTAAATAAGAAAATATATTTTGATGCCTCAGTTTTAGTTTTTAGTCACCTAAATAAAATTCTAGGAAAAATTCCTCTAGACCGCAACATGGACTTTGACTGTATTGTCTGATTTATTTTAAGCTTGTGAGCTAGTGCTGAGCAAGTGCATTTGGGCACTTGCGTCTGTTCGTAATAGGCACACACACATATAAAAAAAGAAACGACGCATCCACCATTGTCTTGTTCATTAAGTCTTGGGTTCGATTCGTAAGTTGGATAAATATTATTGTTTGGGCTTCACAGAAAATGTCAGTTGTACAGAATCTACAAGCTCAGCGTATGGCAATGACAACAGGCTACCCTTCTGATAGATGAAGTCCATAATATAACTAGTATAAAGAGGGTTATATATCCCTGCTCCTTACATTTAGCGATTGTTAGATACGGTAAAAAGACGTCAAGGCGTAGCACATCGATACTATACCTGTATACGCATTCGGCAGCAGTAACAGCGGCCCGTGGATGTATGAGGGTCGCGTAGCACTGCACTACCGTCTGCTTGCGAGTGGACACGATCAGCCCTAGCCAAGGATGTGACCCATTTACAGCGTCCCCGATCTGTTTACCTGTTACAAGGAAAATATATTAGTTACTGATAGTTGATGACTAATTAATTATATTGTTAAGGATATTTTGTCTCAAAAATACAAAGAAGAAACATTAGATTTGCTATTTAACGTAAGTTATGCCAAATTCAACAGAACTGCTAAACAAAGATCACAGTTCCAGTTAGAGCTTGTTTCTGGGTGATGAGTCGCAATTTTAGGATATACATGGATCTTAAATAATTTACTCACCTTTAATTTTAAAGTTAAATGTCTTAGAGATTTTCCCACAATCAGGAAATATTTGATTATCAGAATCATCATTTACTTCAGTGCTTGCTGCAAAAGACCCGTCTTGTGTTGTTTCAGCACTTTCATCAGTGAAACTCTCCGTTGTAGTTGTTCTTGCTATCGAAGACGGCTTATGACTTTTGTTCCTCATTAGATTGAGTAGTTTGAAGTCTTGCAATACATTGAAGTTCGGGTTAGACTGATAGCTGATTGTTTGGCTCTCCACATTATAATTGGACTGCTCTCCTGATGCTGTTGCTAGTTTGATAGGTTTCACTCTTGGTTTCGATTTTTTGTTACCTAAAAGGCGCAAAGAATATTATAAAACAATAAAAAATGAATGTAAGTATAAAGTTTCATAAGTGGACATACCTATTCTCGGATCGATAGTAGAGTACCCGAATGAACCGCCGTCATCATTTTCATAGTCATCACCACCACCATAGCCCGTAGCTTTGTGTTTGTTGATAAACGCCCACTCCGGAGGAGGTTGTCCATGATCAGAGTACAGCCCTGAAAGACCGGGTTTCGGCAATTCCGCTGCATAGTCGTCATTGTAATCATCCGTAATGTAGTCATATCGCGTGTCCGGTATTTGTTTCTGTTTATTCGGTGGTTTAACATTTTTAACATTCCAATATGGATCGTCATAATCGGAATCTGGTGAAGTAGTCTTTGTCTGTGAAGCTGGCTTTGATTTGTGGCTCTGATGACTTGGATGGGCATATTTGTGCTGTAATAAAATCTCTCTTTGCTTTTTACCAGCATTTTCCCTGTTAGATCTTTTGGGACGTTTAATTTTCATCACGGTATCAGGGAAAATTATTTTTGAATTCGTTTCGTCTATGTTATTTAGAGGCAGAACGCAGCATATCTTATGAAGATCACTTGTAATTTTGTTTGTGGATCTATAAAAAAAAGTGTATTGAAATGTGAAGTTAAAAATTAATTTTATAATAACACTAGTTTACACGGTTTTCATACCCCAACTGAAAGTTGTTATTTTATTGTGTGTTCAGGTAGAACTATCCAGAAAAAATATTAAAAAAATTCTGTCACGTCTGGTTTAACAAATATTTATTTTCTTGAAGGGAAAGGATTAATACAAAAATAAATTAAAAATGACGAATTTTTGCTTTCTTTTTATAGTTATTTGAATTAGTTTCTCTTATGATAGACCAACAGTAATCCCCTAACATATTTTCATCCCAAAACCCTTGATGTCGTTCTTCGAAAGTCCTTAAATCTTGGTGGAAACGTTCACCCTGTTCGTCACTCATACTTCCTAAGTTTTCAGGAAAAAAAAATCAGATGAGAGTGTAGAAAGTGAATCTTTAATGACATGTTTTGATTCATTGCTTCGAAAAGTCCCGGGATATAGATCTGTGCAATAACAATATTCACCTTCTCTTTTGAAAAATTCTTAGTAAACTTTGCTTCTGTTTCTGAAAAACGTAACTTTTGTGTCTGGTAGTAACAAGTTCCATTGTTGTAATCGGGAGCCAAGAAGCTCTGCTTTAGATCTTGATAACTGTAAATCTCGTATAAGATCATTTAATTCGGCCTGATTCATTAAATGTGGAGTGTTTTCTAGAGGTGAAAATTCGTCAGAATCACTAGAAATCGACTTGAATTCAACATCACTGTTATTGTCATCTAATATTTTGCACTCGAACTACCGGGACAAACTGGATGGGGTACATTTTTTGAATGGAAAATTGACTTAGTAACACCGCAACCCACTTTTATCTTGATTTGCAACAGGAAATCCAAAATAATGAAGATATGCCGTTTTTAACGAATCTACAATAGGTCTTCTCTTTTTTGAAAATATAAACTGTCCACAAACATAACAAAAACGGTCAGAACTTTGTTTGCACTTTCTGCTAGCCATTTTAAACCAATCCAAAGCAAAGTAACTGTCGTTTGAAGCGAACGAATTAACAATAAAACATCACCACAACGTCGGGTAGTTAAAAAAAAAACAATTGACGGCAGAAAAAAATTCCGACGTGATAAAATATTTCTGCTAACACTTTTAGGTTTAGGGAAGGTAGATTAACATATTGACATACATTCGGTTCGGGGTATAAATAAAAAGTAAAATTTTGTAAACTAGTGTAATTTAAGTTTAGCAAAAATATATTTTTACTTACTTGATATCCAACACGACTCCGTTGCTTCGATTGCATTCAGATTTTTTCATATAAGTGCAAATATTTTCAGACTGTTTTTCTTTATAGTTCATATTAAATGATACTCTATCATTGTATAGTACAGTATTGTTGGTAATGGCATTTTCAGTAGAGAGAGGAGCAGCAACAGTGGTAGTAGCAATAGTAGTGTTAATTAAATCCTTCCAAACAAAATTATCGTTCTCAGGAAATTTAAACACGAACTTATCTTCTGCCTCAGGTGAAGCGGTTTGCTTTTCTACTGATTGGTCTTTTTCAGGCCATTTAATCAAATTGTTTCCAACTTTGTCACTCACTTTCTCAACGTCAGTTTTACTCAAACTTATACTTTCTGAAGATTCCACAACACCATCAATGAGATTGTCGTCTCTGAACACGATTTTAGCACTTTCATCTGTATCGAATTCCGTTAAATTTTCGAATTTTGGAGGCGGCGGTCGAACTCCTTGGATGCTGGCTAGTTTGTCGTTCAACCACCAGAATTCGCCATTTATTTGAGCGGTAGAGAATTTGACGAGAAAAGCAAATATAATGATCCGCGAGAGCATCGCTTATTGTGCGTGTGCTCGTTAGATTATTTAGTTCAACTGCAGGATGTTGCACCAGGTGGAATAGTGTCGCGTGATTTCGATATAATGCAGCAGTCTATTATTCGACACCAATTATGTTATTCGCAATGTCGATCAATGCTCTATGTTTCCTCGCACGTCCTGTGACTGTTATTTTATGCCGAGCACTGAACGGCCGGCTTTTGTTTTGCTACTTGTATACAGTGCAAATTAATGAGTAGTCATAATGTTTACGCAATGTTATGAGTTTCACTTTACTTTTTTTCAATCTTCACACATTTTAGCTTACACTTTGTAAATATTTTAGCATTAACTTTTACGTAGGCTCTAGTAAGTTTGTGTCGAACTACATCTATATCTAACGTTGGTAGATTAAGACTTAGGAAAGCACGTAAAAAAATCGTTAGTCGCAAAAACCCAGCCACTGAAGTACTCAGAGTATCATAAAAATGTAAATCTTAATAATATGATTTAAAAAATAAGTAGGTACGTTTTGCAAATTGAGAGCAAGATAATAATATCCTTGACACGTATTGAAGCAATAAACAAATGTGAATCACTCATTATTTCGTAGTTACTAGAATATTATTGCTAAGTTAATTTCAGAAAATTAATAAGCGTTTGATAAGTTATGTTGACGCAAGAGTACTTTATTTTTAATTACTTTGCAGGATCTTGGAAACACCGTATCATATGGAAAACATATCGTACATTAAAAATACCCTTAACCGACGAGCATGCATGAAAAGTTTGATGACTGTTGATGAAACGAAAGAGGTATATAGGAATCGTAGCAATTGGCGTTCCATAGTCTCTGTCTTCCCCATAGAAGACAAGACATAAAGGCGTAAGGTTATGTATGTGTCGTATCTAAATACTTAGCTTCAGTCTCTCGTCTTAACTTAGGATCACAGCCATCAGGGAACTAAACTCTGAAACCCCTTAGTGTGATCAATTTTTCCGTGTGTAACGTATTCGATGACAAATTAGTTTATGTCGGAGCGTCTCCCTCAGCAACTTGCTCAAACTCTTGATAAGAGTTGCTCTAAAAACTTCGTGCAGCTTCCAAATTGATTTCGATCGAAACTAGGAACTTAGTGCTGCCAACCGATAACTTAGTTTGCAGGGAACTAACGGGAATTTGTTTTCTAGTATTCATTAAACTTTTGCAGCTGTTATCCGTTCTGAAGCTATTGCTATGTGAGGTGGAAAGTATGGCCGACTAATGAAAATTTCTCTCTCTATTATTGTGTCTTTTATTGTTTTAGTTCGATGTTGGGAAATGATCAAACTTTTTAACTCTATTGAGTCAGTGAAGTTATTAATTGATGAACATTGTTGTTGTTTAACTTGGGTTCGAAGATTTTGTGTTGCGGTTTAATGAATAAAAATATTAAATTGATTTCATTCCAAGCCGCTGAGTAAAGATTGGTTTAAGAAATAATTTTGTACACGAGTTCCTTTCAATAATAAAGAAGATAAATCGGGTTTAAGAAAAAAGTTCTTTGTGTTCCTACGGGAATCACAACTAAAGCTTTCGTTAATTAAGGAAGATCCATAGTTAGGCGATCTAGAAGTAGTAACGTTCTGTAACATCTAAAATGTATAGAATTGGAACACATACACATGTACGAGAATTCTGATAGACCTGTATCAATAAATATACATTTGGTGTGCAAAACTTTTGGTTACTCTATTATAAACGTATGTATAAGTACCATTTTTTTATGGCCGACGGATCACCTGATGGTAAGCAATCGCCGTCGCTCATGGATACCTGGAACACCAAAGCGTTATAAGTGCGTTACCGGCCTTTTGGGAATTAGGAGTTTGAGGATCGTTGGGGATCCAGGAATTGGGGAGATTGGGGAAGGGGAGGGTAATTGGGCCTCCGGTAACCTCACTCACACGACGAAACACAACGCAATCGTTGCTTCACGTAGGTTTTCTGCGAGGCCGTGGTATCACTTTAGTCGAGCCGACCCATTCGTGCCGAAACATGGCTCTCCCACACTTATCATATACCTGCCACCAAAATAAGTGACCCGAAAGCTATTCATACTACTCCACGTCTCGCAACCTATTTCTGAAATAGTGTTCCATTCGCTACCTAGTCAAATGCAGGTCACTGTCCAAATTTATTCCATTTAAGAAGGTACAGTCTCAGTAGTCAGTATGCAATCTGGTCAGGTTAGGAATTTACACATATAAATATTCTTTGTACATTGTGCTACAGAAATAGCGTTCTCGCGCCAATTTTGCGAGATTTACAAAGAGACCGGAACAACGGCGGAGTTAAAAAGGAGAATTGTTCTTGTTTGTGTAAATATATTGTTGTTCAGTGAAGTACGAGTCCTAAGGAAAAGGCGGCGAGAGTTCCATTTTGTTCATTGTGTTACGCAATTAGAATGCATAGCTCGCTCCCTCGATTTACTTTCGGTTTGGTGCAGAAAATTGCAATGGCAGGTTTTTTCCAACGATTCCTTGAATCGAATAGTTCTTTCATTGAATAACAAGCACTGGTTTCTTGCATTTTTTCCTCTTTCCCAGGAAATTTGTTTTTGTGCTGGAACTTTGTAATGTTTTGGTCTAATTAAATCTAATAGAAAATCTACGTGAAAAACTTTTATGAATACTTACTAACACAAACATATTCTGTACATTATTTTTAAGATGTTATATTGTCAGTAGGTAAACGTATTCAATTTATTTCGATCTGAAGATTTATTACGGGTCCTTTGTTCTGACTAGACATTTCAAGTATTCAGAATGAAAGTGTGAACGAAATCTAGAAAACGGAAACAATGCAATGTCTGGAAAGGTTCTTGAATCAGATCCGTTCGACCGAAGAGATTTGTGTGGGCGTCGTGAGAGCATTCCGAGGGAACAGTCGAATGTTCTACAGAGGAGCTTGGATTCAAATGCTTTAGAACATATCGAGTGAGAATTCGTAAAACATTTCAAGTAATAAGTATAAATCCCATAATAGAACATCTAGAAACTTTCCAATAATTTAAATTGTTCAAATATTCAAATGTTCTTTAAGATTGACATATGATGTCTAAGAGTGGTTCACACTTTAATTAAGGTTTAGAGACTAGGACCAGGCGGGAGAGGCTAGAGACTGGGACGAGGCGAGGTGGGGTGAGGTGTACCATTTGCAAAATATTTGTAAGTAAACCTGTCTCAGTTATTTAGCCGATTATATAACAAAGAAGAAAAATCTATCTAATTCAGCAGTAACCAATGCAGCAGTTTAGCAGAAACTATCTAACAAAGTAACTATCAAGCATAATATATCAAACAGCTATAAAATATAGACACAGGCATTCGAACATAAAATGCTTCAAAGTCTTTAAACCGACCCTGACGTAAACACGGCCTTGGAGTTCCTAAAAAGTCTCAGAAAATATTTGTCGTGACATCGTCGTCGAACCGCGTGCCTTGGGACCCATATCTTTCGCTTGAAGGTCACAAAATTTCTTATTGCTTTGAGCCCACCATTTTTTACATGTTTCCCAGGAAATGTATGAATTTTAAAAGACCTATTTACATGAAACCCTTGGTGATATTGTTGGAAAATATGTGTATTAAGTCCATCCATAAGCTTAGTATCGCATATTTATGTTCCTCGACGGTTAAAATAATTCTGTATAATATACCTAGGACCTAGACAGATGTTGTGGTTATAGTTAGAGATTAGCGCCAGCTACTTATTTTGATGCTGCCTCGTTGGCCGAGTGGTCGCAAGTGCGATTGCCGGGCAAGGGGTCTCGGGTTCGATTCCCGGGTCGGGCAAAGTATTACTGGGTTTTTACAAATTTCTCAGTAGTAGCACGGAGTCTGGAATTGTGCCCGGTATATGGCAATAGGCTCACCCCCTATTACATGGGACTCATAACATAAATAGTGAAAAGTGGGTGTTACATTGTACAGTGGCATAATGTGCACCTCTGCCTACCCCTTCGGGGATAAAAAGGCGTGATGTTATGTTATGTTGTTATTTTGATGTGCCTAACCATTGTAAGGTCGAAGGTATTTGCAGAAAGAAATGATAGTCACGGATGTCCAAATAATACTGTCCTTTATTGAATAATACATTGATTATAGGTATATTATTTTAATGATTACACATTTCCACAGGTATAAGGTACATGACTTATTAAGTAGATACTCCATATACACTACACCATCAAGTTTATTCACACTAAAATGGAACGATGTCAATATGTATTATCTCATCTGCATCGTCACTCAAAGAAATCGACGCGAGACCGCGTACGGCGCTCTGATTCGTTGGTACATTGGAGCCGACCAATTAAAGTGCCGAACGCGGTCTCTCGTACCGAGCCCTCAGAAGCATCGACACTAACAATACAAAGATAAAATGGTCTACTACGAGATACTTAACGTTTCTTCTTTGGTCATCATTATGTCACACTACACAAGTTTATAGATTACTATGTCATGAAGTTACTTCGAAATAAATTAATAACATTGTGAGAAAACGCTATTGAAAAAAGGGAGATGAATACGTAATTTAAATAAACCAAGACTTTAAATTAAAGATATAATTATTATAATTTTGGATTAATTAACGTTATCGACATAAAGGAAAATGTCTACTTATCATGTTTTCTTTTGTTCCAAACTTCCAATCATGATATACAGTGATTTCATTTCGTAGAAAATATCGAATGCGAGCTCTGAGAAGTTGTTAATGATTAAAGTTATTAAAATGTTCAGTAATAATGAAACATAAGTAATGGGTAGAAATGATTCAGAAGGTATGTACATACATACATACAGCGTAAATTTATATTATCAGGTCGTAAATATTTTTATTCTTGAATTTGACTTCTCATTCGCACTAATTAAATGTAAAGTTTAGTTTTATTAATACTTAATTACTACAAGAAACTTCAATTGGTGTCTTTCGGTTGGCGGTTGCTAGTTAATGGCGAAAAAAATATTATAGTCATCCTATTTGTAGGTACAACTCTACCCCTTCATCAAAAACCGAGGGTAACACTATGATTGGTAGTTAGCTATTTATATTTTTCGCATGCCACATTTTATATGAACACAGTCAAAACCAGATATTCATATTCAACGACCGAATGTAAATAAAACTATACGACTACACGTGATATCGCTTGCATATTTCATAAACTGTGCAATTCAAATTCACTGCGGGCACAATCCAGCCCTGAAATAAACATAAAAATATGCTTATGCACTGTTTGACTCCGGTTCAACATAGCAAGCCATTTGAACGCAAGCAATGTTGAATTTTAAACTTCGTAGTTCAAAGTTTGGTTTTGCTTGCGTATTTTCTTTGCCGAAGCTTTCAACAAATCCCTTTCGGAAGTGTTGTAAAATTTTGGCCATGAAAACAGCGATACGGATACGTACTTTTGTGTAGTTTCCTTAGTTGATCTTAAATACAGTCCCCGGTTCTAGTTCAGATCTTGTTAAAAAATATTGAGATTTTTTAATCTGAAATTTTTATAAAGTAATAACAAGTATACCATTCCTACATTAAAAATTCTACTACCATCCATATGTTGTAGTTCAAGCTAATATTGTTCTGTAGCACAAATATTAAGAACCAAATTGTAAATTGAATTAAAGGTCTGAATGATTAAGTAGGTAGGTCATTGGCTCTCAAAGGGTTATCCCTTTTTGTCCTTTAAAATTAGATCCCAATGGTGAAACATATATCTTCATTTGAAATTGTGAAATGATAAATGAATACCCTTTAAAACTTGACACCTGCTACCGTAAGTAAACCGACCTGAGAATAAAAAGGACCAACAATGCCGTACTTACATTAATCTCTAAACACCGAAAATATAAACTGGTTTATAAACGCAGTGGGTGAGAGCGGTCACCGGTGACCGCTTGGAGTTTGACGGAGCGGCGTGTTGACATACGCGCGGTCACCGGTGACCGCTTGGATTTATAGGAGTTAAAAAAATAACATTTTTATAACAC